TGTGGTCCAATACTACAACTCGTGGTCCGACGGCACACACCTCTACATTCAGATGGAGTACTGTTCGCAAAGCCTACGGAATATTCTGCAAATCAAACCGCGAGTATTTGGCCGTCAATTAGGAGATTCCATGAATTCCTACGAGTACTTCATATCGTGTGAAATATTTCGGGAACTCCTACAGTGTGTCCAGTATTCGCATGAATTGAGTCCACAGATAATTCACCGGGATCTTAAACCGGAAAACATCCTGATCAGTTACGATCCGAAACATAATCGATTCGTTAAGTTATGCGATTTTGGCCTGGCTACTATACACGACAAAGATGTTAATTATGAAACATCATTTAAGCATACATGTGGAATGGGTACGATACTCTACAGGGCACCTGAAATTGGTCATGGTAGAGTAGCGTACGGTCGTAAATCGGATATTTATTCCCTGGCACTAATTGGTGGTGAAATATTTGATTTTGATTTGTTTAATGTTAAGGCGAATAGGTTAGTAAAGTATATAATTCTTAACTGTTTTATTAATTAATTATTTATCTATCACCTTGCTATATAGCTACACAGAAACCCATTTATTATACCAAAAGGTACATAAATTGCAAAACCTATTGCTGCTAATGATGTCGAGCCCGGTATGGAATAAAAGGCCCGAATGTTCGGAGGTTTTGCGAGATTATAATGAGTGGAGTATTAGGGAAAATGAGCTTAATACAAACGATTTGTATTTACTAATAAATACGCTGAAATCCAGTGATAATAATTTTATCATTGCATTTATTCAAAATAAATTAAAATTATAAGAGGTTGCAAAATATTATTTTTATTTAGTTATTATATTTAATACAATAGTAGCATAGTCAATTTAATGATTATCCACATTTCTAGCATTTATAAGATTGTAATAATTTTATAAGAATTTAATAAATTAATTATCATTCAATTGTATTTTATTTATCAACATATTTAGTTAATTATGAAATACAATAATTGTTTTTTATTTATATGTAACTATATACATAGGTCAAACCATAAGTTTCCGGAATTATCTTATCTCCATACCCTTGAATAATTATAAGGAGTAAACACTTATGTTAATGTGATTAATAATCATTAATGTTACAACTCTTTAATTAT